GATGGGGGCCCCAAACCGCTGGGCATGGCAGGCGGTTTGGGACTGGGACAGGTGACATCCCTGAAAACCAGGTCCCCTGGGGACCCTGCCACGGGCAGCTGGCACACGAAGCCAGCGCCTTTTGCTCCTGCCAGCCTTCTGCCTTGTTTCCCACACCTTCCCAGCTATGGCTTCTGTGAAGCCTAAGAAAAAGAGAGGGGGAAGGAAAAAAAGGTGCTTCTCATTTGCTGCTTTTATCATTAAATTCGGAGCCCCAGGGCACCAGCCTTGCAAGGCTGAGCTCTTCCTGCTGCGAGGGTTCGTGATTCAGCCGGGAGTCACTGGGGTCTGCAGGGGCTGAGCCAGGCTAATTATTAACTTGCTCTACCTGTAGGATGAGGCATCCGAGACAGAGGGTGAGAGTAAGAGAACATGTCAGGGCACTTGCACTGCCAGAGACCCGCTGCTTCGCCAAACCCTGAGAAAAACCAGGATTCCAATGCTCTGCGCTGCCTCAAAGCCCGGGGGATAGCCGAGCTAACGGAAAGGGTGCTGATCAGGATGGGGCTGGGGGAGGAAAGTGCTTGCACCAGCACGACCCGGCCAGGGCTTGGCTGGGGGGGAATTTCAGAGGATGACAAATATTCCCTTTCATTTTGGCTATGCACTCAGGCATCCCTGTGGTTTTGGGGGGTGCGTGGGCCAGGGAGATAAGTGATGCTCATGGAGGGGGCTGTGACAGCTCTGGTCCCTGACCCCCACAGGACATCATGGGGTTCCCAGCGCTGCTTTTTGGGGGATGGCCAGATGCAGGCCACGCTGGTGGCCATAAACCTGTCTCAGAGAGGGCAGGGATGCACTTGTAGGTCTGAGCCCAGAGACACCTGAGATTCAGCAGGGGCTGTTTTCTCCAGAGCCTGGATTTAGGCAAGTCTTCCGCATCCTGGGAAATTGCTGTTGTACCTAGGCAGAAGATCAGGCGTTTGTGGGAAGCACCATCAACTTTACAAAGGGGTTTTGTTGTGAGTGAGAAAGCCTGAGCCAGCCCTAGTCAGCCTCCTTCTCCAAGTGGGGGACGAAGAAACCGTAGAAATTGCAGATGGATAGAACAGATGAACTGGTGCCCAGTCCCCCAGGCCCCTTCTGTGGCCAGGGCAGGGTGGTGCCTGATGGTGCCACCCAGCGTAAGTGGCCTCGCGGGAGAAACCACAGAATTGGAGGTGGCAGCTATGGCCGCTTTGTCTGCCCTTGTCACCGCTTGGCTGTGCCATTGCCTGGCCACTGCCTGGGAACTGGGGTCTGACCCTGGCCCGTGGGCAGGCCAAGTCACAGCTCTTCCCTGAACTTCACTTCCCCAGCAGGAAAAATCGGGGATTTGTGGTTGTGAGTGTCCTGGACAGCGTTGGAATGAAAAGCCGAAGGGAGGAGGTGGGCATCGCTGCTGCCCCGGGTGCAGCACGGACAGGCTGTGCTTGCTTTACCGAGGACGTGTGCTAGCTGTCGGATTTAAGGATCTTCAGATTCCTGCCGCTGCTGTCCCCAGATGTGGGCAGGGACCTGTGGAAAGCTGCGAGGGCAGTTCCCCTTGCCCATATGCAAATGTGTTCATTTGGGGTTTAACAGTGGCACCCCAGTGAAGGCCATAAAATGGCTAGGAAAAAACCAGGAGATCTGCCTGGTAAAAGAAAAACAGAACCCCCAAAGACCTGAGCAGTCCCAGTTCTTCCTGTGCACCCACAATACCAGATCATGGTCAGACTGCTGGGGCTTGAAACACTGGTGTGGCACGGGCGGATGGGGCCCGCTCATGGCAGCCTGCAGCTGAAAGGGCGGCAGGAGATTTCGGCAATGTGATCCCATTACGTCCCCAGTCTTGGAGATGTCCCCAGTCTTGGAGATGCCCCCATGCTTAGCCACTAAATCCAGCTGTCTCGGTCTTGCTGCAAACCCTTGCAAGCTGGCGTTGCTAGATGCTGGTTTGGGAGAGGGAGGCATTCCGTTTGTGGAATACAGTGGGAGTTCTCCCTTTCCCTCCTGCTCCCTTGATCCCTGTGGAAGCTGGCGGGTAGGCTGAACCCTTTGCCAAAACTACCGCTGGATTCCCAGCTCCCAGGTTGCTTTTGCTTCTTGGGGCTTTACTTATTACTGGGAAATTTGGCTGCCACGTTCCAGGCAGCAGCATCGCCCAGACAGCTGGTAGCTGGCATTGCTGCTTATCGCTGCGTCCGTAATTTCATTACTTTATCCTCTTCCCCTCCCTGTTGCTGGTTGCTGCCCTTATCTGAGCAGTGTTTTGGTTTTGCTGCCGCAGCCGTCAGGTGATCAGTTGCTCTTTGTTCTGACAGCGGCTTGTAGCACAAACATAATCATTTCCTACGCTTATTTGCCTCCCAGTGAGACCATTAATTGGCAGCCAGCAGGTTCCCACCTCCAGGGGAGGACCTGGGTGCGTGTTCACGGGTATTGCGTGTTCATGGTTATTGCATGTTTATGGGTATTGCATGTTTATGGGTATTGAGTGGAGCCGGCTGGAAAAGCTGGAGGGAGACTTTGGGCAGAGAAGGGGTTAACTTGTGTCCTAAAAAGAATTATCTAAATTGAGTGAGGCCCCGGAATGAACCCCAGGCTTTGCAGGTGAAAGCATCCCAGCAGCGCCAGGTTCCTGGTGCTGGTTCACCAGCTCCACTCTGGCCTGAGTGCTGCCGATGCCCCGGCATGGTTATGAGAAGGGGTTAATTTCGTGCCCGAGGGGTGAGTCATGGAGGCCCCCGGTGAGACGGATCTGGTTAGCTCCGCTGGCTCTTCATTCATCATGGAGCTTAGGCAGCTGTCTCCTTGGCACGGCGCGCTGGGAGCGGGCGCACGCCGGCCGGCCGGGTTGGGCGGCGGGGGAGCGGTGGCTGCTGGAAGCCCCTGGCTGTGCGGGGTGACGGGCTGTCACTCGATCCCCACCGAGCCCCTGCAGCCCCTCTCCCTGCTCATTCCTGGAAATGCTGTTTGGGACAGAAGCATATGAGCCCCGGGGAGCCACATGCCACCACTACCCCCTGCTCCAGCGCCGCCATGCCCTCGCTGGAGGTATCCCAAGGAAACGCAGCCGCCAGTGCTCGGAGCGGCGTCCCACCAAGGTGGCCTCATAGCCTGGCGACGGAGCAGCGGGGCAAACCTTGTGTCTCCCACTTACCTGTCTCTTTTGCTTGGGAATGCATGTCCCAGAGTCTGCGACGTGTCTAACAAAGCTGACATTTAAGACTCAGACATGCAAGTCGGGTGTAGCTCTGGGGGGGAATCAGTTTGGGTACAGCCCTTCCCTTCTCCCCAGGGAAGTCAACCAACCCCCAGAAATAAAAAAGTTCTTCCCAGAGAAACTTCAGGGAGAGCTTTTCACCCCTGGGATTCCACGCAGCATCCAGACAGTGCAACAGCAGCCCCGGGCTGCAAGCAGTGGAGTGCCGTAGGGGTGTGGGGTTGTACCACGGCACAGAAGGAAGAATTTCTGTAAAACCAGAATGCAGGAAATAAGGGGACCCCCCAGCCCCGAGCGCTGTCTCCCTCTCACGTCAGCCCTCGCCGGCTTCCCTTAGCTTTTTGCGCTGGCGATGAGCAGCGTCACGACCCAGTGCCTTGCAGCTGTGTTTCTGGCTGTGGGACGCTGCCTCAAAAGCATCTGGGCACCTGGAGCAACCAGACTCCACCTAGAGAAACCGAGGGATCTGAGCAGATGGGAGAGCTGAGGAATCCAGGTGGAACCAGAGCAAAGAAAACCTTTCCACTAACCCCAGCGGAAGGCAAGCTGCGTTTGCGTAGCTTTGATCGGTCCTCGTGCCAGTGGATTTGATTAGGATGGCAGGAGGTCATCCGTGGAGTTGGAAGACCCTAAATGTAGGGTGTGCTCCTGCACCCCCTCTTTCCCAGCCCAGAACACCTCCTTTTAGGTCAGTATCTCTCCCTGCCAAGGGAGAACAGCCTCCCAAGCAGTAATCGAACCCCGGCTCCACGCTGGCATGGAGACCCAACAACAAACAGCCCAGCCTGGGTGCCTGCCCAGGGCGCCTTTCCGAGGAAGCCCTTCATAGAATCATAGAATCACTTTGGTTGGAAAAGCCCTTTAAGACCATCGAGTCCAACCTTTAACCTAACCCTGCCATCCCACCACTAAACCATGTCCCTAAGCACCTCATCCATCCTTCTTTTAAATACCTCCAGGATGAGGACTCGATGTTTTGGGAACGTCTCTTCCAGACATCAGGCCCTCACCTCCCACCGGCTCTGATTTTTTTTTTTTTTTTTCCCTGAATCCTTGGTACAGAATATTCAGACCCAGGAAAACCAGAAGGAAAACTTGGATCAGAGGTTCTACAGCCTGTTCAATGAGGAACAAAGGAAAACAGTTGTCAGGAATCTGGATAAAATAATCTATTACTCCAAGGTCAAGTTTAAGTTTCAGCACTGCCCGGTAAGCTGTGGCACCTCTTTATGGGCGTTTCTCTTCCCTGGCGCGGGTGATACTGCAGGACTGGGAAGTAAAGTGTAATTCTGGGAAACGTGACTCACGGGGACTTCTTCGGGCTATTGTGTGGCCCAGGGGCTTCTGCTGCCATGCAGTGCCTGGGTACCGGCTGGCGCCCACCGGCTTCCATCCCAGTGGGGACCCGGGCCATGCTTCCATGCTCAGCTGCCAGGCTGGCAGCAGATCCACCAGCAGAGATGCAGTGGTGGCCCTTGGATAAGCGACCGCTGGCTTTTCTGTGCACAGATCAGTCTGAGATGCAGAGGGAAGCCGGGAGGAGGAGGGCGTCCTGAGATAAACCCCAAAACGTGTCTTTTCTGCAGGAGGTGAATGATTGCTTCTTGGAACTGTTCCAGTCTTACCTGTACTTCCAGTCTACAGGCTCCAACGGACTCACCTATCGGGTAGGGCATCTCCCGGGCACGCTGGGGCAAGCACTGGGGAGTCGGGCAGTGTGGCCAGGCTGGGGGCACCGGGCGGATGGGACAGGACAGGGCTGCAGGCTCCGCTCCTGGGGCTGCCGCTGCCCTCCCCTGGGTGATCTCAGCAAGTCCCTTCCCATGGATGCCAAGCTCCTGGGGGAAGAGAGCATTTCTTCCTAGGGACCGCACCCAGACAACCTCAGTTTCACCTGGGTCCTTGGCCTTGGCCATGGGGAGATAGAAAGGACCCTGTAGAGGTGGGACAGGGGCTTGGCAGGCAGGCAGGACCAGGGGAGGGAGGTGTTTAGGGTACCCGGACTTATCTTTGTAGGGCACCAAGCCCAGAGAGCTGTACCTTGGTAAGGGTCAGAGCTCCCAAAATCCCACTGGCCTCGGTGCAAATGATGGGCTTGGCCTTAGCTTCTGAACCCAGGGGGAGGTCTTCATCTGCAGGGCAGAGAGAGAGGCATTTGGAAAGAAAAATGCCTTGGGGAGCTATCCTGGCAAACTGTCCATCAGTCTTTTAACCTGATGGTGCTGGTGAATTACAAACCATAGGCTGTTTTGCACATGCAGCCAGAAAATCACAGCCAAACAGGCAGGAAGCCCTGATTGTGCTCTCCCTCCACGTGAGTGCGTAACTAAAACATGGCTGTTTTTTAGACGTGCATAAAGTTTGTCCCGTTTAGGAGTTACTTCTTTTCTTCTAGGCTACTTGAGGTTAATGCAATATTCCAGCACAGTCTCGAGGCACCCAGCAAGCCAGCCAGCCTTCAACTGGAAAGACATATGTCAGAAGGCAAACAATATTACAAAATGTCCCATCTACTTTATAAACAGTTCCTTAGATTATTAATTCTAGAGGAATTGAGAAGCAATTAATGTGCCAGTACTGGCCCCTAGACATTGCAGCAATTAGCATCTTTTACAGCCCTAGTTTAGAAAGCCCAAGGCAGGGAGCGCAGACTTGTCATCTGTTCCTGCGCTTCGTTGTAGTGGGACTCGGATGGAGTAGAGAAACCGGACAGCTCAATTTTGCTTTGTGGTCTTTTCCATCTTCTGGCTTTGTTGTTTTAAACCAGCAATGTTTTTTTTTTTTTGAGGTTTCTCTTAAAACTGAAAGACTCGGAATATAAAGAAAGTGTTCTTGCCAGCATGGCAGATGATTACTGCAGTAATGGTCCCACAACGCGCTTCCTCCGGGGAGCGTGCTGGCTTGAAGTCCCAAATGTTTCCCTTCAGAGCCACGTTTTGCAGTTTAACATTGTGAGCCACGGCAACCTGCTGGTGCCGAGTCTGGACTTCCTACAGCAAAGGGGCACGAATTGCAGAGCCTGCCTGCAGGCTGCCCCCCCAAATAATGCTGTGTTCTTCTTACGCAGGGACACCTGCCTTTGAAAGAGCTGAAAGTGTGTGCAGTTGAGAATGGGAAGAGCGCTGGGCAGGAGGATCACGCTTTCCGCGTTGCAGGTTGGTGCCCCTTCCTTTGCTTTGAACGGGGAACAGGGGGTGGATGAATCACGACTGTCTCTGCTCCTTGTCCCGCTCCGACCTAGTCCCAGAGGAGAACCACATTGTGGAAAGAGGTTGCAGAGAGCTGAAGCTCTTCCTCCCAGCGTTGGCACCTTTTCCCTCCAAGGCTTCCCTGCTCCTCAACGCCTGGACAGCGATGCCCAGGGCTGCAGGCAGGGAGGGGACTGGCTAGGGAGCGCAGAGAAAGGCTGGTCCTGTGCTCCGACTGGTGAGTGCTCAGGACACAGGGTGACAGTTCCTAGAATCATAGAATGTTTTGGGTTGGAAGGGGCCCCTAGAGGTCCCACCTCTGCCCAGTCATTTGCTCTTTGTGCACTGCATTTGAACGAAAGAAGGGAATAAAATGGAATAAAACCCCTTCTCCCACCTCTCGTCACCATATAACCCCCGAGGCCAGGGAGTGACTCCAAGCAGGCGCAGGGTGGCCAACAGTGCCAAGAGGGGAGTTGCCTCTACCAGTAATGCCAGGCTGGTGCTATCAGGACCCAGTGCCCCTTCACCAACTCTTCCTTCACCAGCACTTCTGCCTCCACAAGCTTTTTAAACTTTTCTCCGAGTGATCTTGCTTTATAAAAGTTCTCCTGGGATAACAACCTGTCTGCGGCTCGGCTGGAGGCTCCTTTGGGCTTAGACATTGCCGAGTTACAGCAGACGCAAGCCCCCAAGGGTAGTAAAGAGTGAAGTACACAGGAATAAATAGATAACCCAGTGATGATACAGGGCCAGGAGAGCTCATTTGTGTCCTAGGCCCACTGAATATGGGCTCTGGTGTCCTCTGTTCGAGAGAAAGTTATACAAAAGCCACTCAAACAAAAAAAACTACGTGAATTATCAAAAGGAGCTGGTGCAAACAACCCGTCCATTTTAAGCCTGCCGAGCCGTGGTCCTGTTGCGCCGTGCTCGGGAGGTCTCTCCAACCCTTTCGGGGAGTCTGTAAAAGGAAGGAAAACTTCTCCCAGGCGTAACTTGTCAGGGGCGTCTGCACCGGGGCGGGCGGACTTGTTCTGCTTGTATTGAAACATGCGGGAGCGTGGCTGGGTGGAAAATTGCCTCCAGCTTTGTTGGGTTTGTGTCCTGCTTAGGGAAAGCAAGGCCTTTCTGACAGAGAGTGCTGTGTATGTCAGGAAGCAGTGACATGGAGAAACTAGGGAGGTGTAGTCATATTTAGGATTGCTGGGAGAGCAGTGGAGCAGTTTTATTTTTCTGCGAGAGGGGGAGAAATCAAGGCACGAGGGGGTCTGTGGCCACACACGGGGTCAGGGTGGAAGCCTTTTATCTCATGACTCTGAGACACAAAAGACGCATCCATTTTCTTGTGAAATCCCGTGATGTCAGTAGTTCCCCATGAACTGCACTTTCTGGGCTAGTTCAGTACATGAGAAGATGCCGGCATGATCATTGGCAGGGTGACGATGGAGCACAGGAATGAATCCCAGCAGCTTGCAGAGCCGTCCCTCGGTGTGCTGGCACGGAGAAGTGGCTGGCGGCTGGCCATCACCTTGGCTTTGTGGTCCATCCTTGCACAGCCTCTGATGCTGATGAAGTTGTTGAGCACCTCGAGTTATCTCTGCCTCGCTTGCAAATGTTGCAGCTTTTCAGTGTGTCCAGACAGAGAGATTTGGGGGGGAATAAACTGCTGCTGCTGCTCCAGGAAGGGGCTTTCTTGCTTCCAGTGTTCCTCTGAAAGCGTTTGCAAGGAAAGAGGAAGGACAGGGCAGAAGAAAAGAGCACGAGGGCCGGCACAGGTTGCTCAGCATGGCTGTGTCATGGCCCTGCCGCAAACGTGCCCTCGGGGTTGAGGGAAATGGCAGCAACTGAATTAGCAGCAGCCTTTCAGGCTCTGCTTCGCAGCCTCCCCGGCACACGAGCTTCAGGCATGTCTCAGGCTCCAGGCTTAGGCAGGAGTTTCTCTTCTCATTTTCTCTTCCTTTGGGGCCCTGTTTAGATGCGGCGACGCAAACAGCCCTCAGGATGGGTCTGAAAGGCTGGCCTCAGAGGAGGTGGCAGAGCAAGCAGTGCCACGTTAAGGGTCATGCCCTACCAGAAAGATTCCTGCTCTTTGTATCAGGGCCTGGATGCCCAGAAAAGTATTCAGAGCTGCCAGAACACCTGGATAACATCAGCACCCTTATACCCCCCCTAGCAACTCTGAAGTAGGGCATCCCTTTATCTGCACTGCAAGGACAGGGAAACCAAGGCAAGAGGAGACGAGAGCTCCACAGCCTCAATGGCTCGTAGGCGCTGGGGTGCCCAGTGATGCTGGACACCTAATTACTGTAGTGGGTCTGCATGGAGTGACTTACGGCAAGTCACCCAGGGAGTCCCTGCCTCGGTTTCCCCACCTCCGCTTTGTGCATTTCCTGCCAGAGGTGTTTCAAAGTCTTAATTAACTGTTGTTCATAAATAATGCAGGAATCACAGGATGAAAGCCTCCAGAGAAGGGCAAAGTATCATGCTTATCTGTGCCCTTGCTTATCCGAACACTTCCAAGTCCCGTAAAGCCAGGTCTTACTGAGCATGCCCCAAATATGGTTTAATATGAGATCACCGGTAAATTATTAATCATAACATAAATTCTGCAGCCTGCCGGAAATTATTATTAACGTCACTAGGTTATGTCTGCAGTGAGTAGCATAGGGTGTGTGAGACTATTTTGCTCGTGCTACTAAGCGAATGATAGCTGGAAGCATTCAAATCAACAAGATACAGGGCTGTTCCTCCCTTCACGAGTATGTCTGAGCGCAGCTTCAGCTCGTCTGGCACAGGTTCTGTTTGGTGAAGCAATAAATAAATATAGCGTCAGAGAGCTTAGTGATGTTCTACGTGTTGAGTGCCAAAGTGGAACTAAGAAATGGCACGAAACTTTTGCATTGAGTTGGGCTGTCTGCAGCAGCACACTGTGATGCTCTCATCACAGAGATACTTTTCACGGACTGTTGGGGAGTTTTAAAGCTGAAGTCTGTCGCTTGATCTCAAGCTTGACTTCTGTACTGCCTTTTATTTTTGTTCTTGGCCTGAAAAGCAACTGGTGGGCAGAGCTAGACGTGGCTGCCTGAGCAGGCGGTGAGAAGGTGCTGGAGCTGTCCCTGCAGGGGGGGTCCCCAGCAGCCTGGCGCAAGGCACCGGGCTCACGGTATAGAATAGAATCATGGAATCACTTTGTTTGGAAAAGCCCTTTAAGATCATCGAGTCCAACCTTTAACCTAACCCTGCCATCCCACCACTAAACCATGTCCCTAAGCACCTCATCCATCCTTCTTTTAAATCCCTCCAGGGATGGGGACTCGACCACCTCCCTGGGCAGCCCATTCCAGAGCCTGACAGCCCTTTCGGTGAAGAAGTTTTTCCTAATGTCTAGCCTAAACCTGCCCTGGCGCAACTTCAAACCATTCCCCCTCATCCTATCGGTAGTGGCAGGACGGGCTGGAGCACGATGCCAACGGAGCAATGCGCTCGCCGGCAACCCGTGGTGTGATGTGCCCAGCGTAACGGCTCCGGCCAGCTGATGGCTTAAATTGATGCTGCAATTGGTGCCCTTCATCTGCGCAGCTCATCTTGTGTCTCGCATACCTAGGTCCTCTGCTGAATCCCCTTATCGTGTTCTGCCCTTCTGAGGAAGAGCTGAAGCAGTGGCTTTATCACCTGGAAAAACAGATCCAGCTAAATGGAGGAAGCCTTGCCCTGCCCTTCCTCTCGCAGGTAAGCGTCCCAGGAGGTGCGGGGCCGTTTCCCACGCTGCGGGCTCAGAGCTGAACGAGCCGGGGGGGCTGGGCCGGCTGGGTGGGTGCTGCGCTGCTCCTGCTGCCTTCGGCGGGGGGGATAACCCCTGCAGCCAGCCCCTCTCGGCCATTTTCGCCACCCTTCTAGGTGCTCACCTTAAAACCTTCCTCTTCCAGAACCCTGAGCGCCCCATGGCCGCTTCCTCCAGGCTGGAGAGCTTGAGCAGAGGACTGGGGATGGAAGGGAGAGGGGCTCTGGGCCCACTTCCAAATGCTCCCTGCTGTGCTTGCTGCTCTTTCAAAATGATGGAACGAGGTGTGGGGTTAACTCCTGGCCTAATCCCCCTTTTCCAGGCCAGCTGCTTCGCTACATCAGTCAGTGAGCTGCCCCTCTGGCGTGGTGCACAGGGGTTTTGGTGCCACTCTTACCCCTTCCAGCAGCGGCCGGGGCTGTGCATGGTTTGTAATTCAGCCCTTCTGGCACGTGGCAAATGCCCCCCCTTGGCCAGCAGCACCTACCAGCCTTGCCAGGGCAGCAGCGTGGCAAGGGCCCCCGTGCGCGTCCCCGGCTGCTCGCTGCAGGTGCCTGCCTGTTTGCCGGTGCCCTGCGCTGGCCCTGGGCAATACGCCTGACAGCGCTCGCTTCCTTTGGTTATCCGACCACCCCTGAAATAACCATGGATGGACACGCTAATTACCTACACTCGGCAGATGTGTTCTTGCTTGGGAACGCCTCTGCCTGTGGAGGACCCTCTGAGGGTGATGGAGCCCTGGCCCAGGCTGCCCAGGGGGGCTGTGGAGTCTCCTTCTCTGGAGATATTCAACCCCTGCCTGGATGCTGTCCTGTGCAACCTGCTCTGGGTGAGCCTGCTTGAGCAGGGGGGTTGGACTGGGTGAGCTCCTGAGGTCGCTTCCAACCCCTGCCATTCTGGGATTGTGTGATTCTGTGACCCTTGTGTTCAAGTGGCCTTAGGGTCCTAGGTCTGTGCAAGCAGCGCTGGAGCAAGAGCGGGATTTCAGCCTCGATGGCAGCCCCAAAGGTGCCCCGTGCTGCTGGGACCTGGCAACAGCCTGCTGCGTTTCTGCGGCGTCTGTGCGCACACGCAGCTCCTGACTTTGGAGCTTGCCTTTCGTGCAGTCTCCTGCGAGGGGAGGGTGCAAGAAGAAAGGTTTTCCAAGGGGGCTGGCAGGGCGCATGTGCTGGAAGGGAGACCTGCAACCCAAAGGTGCTGCCTCCTCCACCTCTGAAGGGTCAGAGGTTTGGGTCTGGTTCAGAGAAATTCTCACGCGGTTGGCTGCTTGTGCCATTATCCAGAGTTTACAAAACATTTGGAGGAGGAGGCTGGGGCCGAGGCCTAGAAAACAGGACCAGATTCGAGAGACCTGTCGTCTCTTCCAGGCTCTGCGGGGCGTTTTACTTCCCTCCCTCTCTCCCATCTCCCCGCTTGTAAAACAGAGGCATTCCCCTTTGAAAGGCAATGCAGAGATGATGCTAGGTACCAAGCAGGGTTATTCAGTCCCAGCTGGAAAACTGGCTCGTGCACAGATTTATTTGCTCTTTCCTGCTTCTGCCACACTCGAAAAGTGTCCAGAGATGGGCCATGTGCTAACTGAACTCCTAGGGGAGGACACATCTACCCTGCTTCTCAGTTCTGCTCCTGTCCCTAGAACAACGGGAAGCAGAGCTCTGTGGGGAAGAAGGATCTGTGTCAGTCCGTGCAGAACATGCCTGTCCAGGAGTGGAGAGGGACCGAGCGGGAATCCCTAGGCGATGTCCTCTGTGTTTCCAAAGTGAAGCTTCAGCATCTGCCTTTCCAGGTAGGACACATCTCCGGGGAGCAGCCTCCTATCGGCGCGGCTCAGAAAAGGCAATGGATGGCGTGGGCAGCGCAGACCCCTGCCTACCCGCTGCCACCAACCCAGCGGGTCCCTGCAGGGTCCCGGTACCCACATCCCGCTAAATGGAAGGAGGTTTGTCCCTGCTCCTGTGGCCCAGCGGCGGGGCTTGGGGACTGCACGTGCATGAGCATTTGCAGGACAGGGCTGGCAGCGGGAGCGGGCAGGAATCGCCTGAGCAGCCCAGTTGCAGGGAAGCAGCTCAGCTGGTTCCAGAGCCTCAGGCTGCTGTCAGAGAGGCAAAGGAAGGGGCTCTCCAGACCGGAGCCCCGGCTGGCTGTTCACGGGGAACCCTCTCCCTCTTTACTTCCCAAGGAGCAGCACGACCGGCTGTTGGTGCTTTACCCATCCACGCTGGTGATAGTATCTGAAGAGTGCGGCGGCCTCTGTTTTAAGGTAAGTTCACTTTGGAGCACCTTCCTGCTCTCCCTCGCCCATCACCGTGACTATTCCAGCACTTGGGCTCCTTGCTCCCCTCCACCTGGGTTCCCTTGTGCTCCTCATGTTGGCAAGGGCTTTCCCTCCGCGCGGCTCCCTTGCCAGCTGGCAGGTGAGCAGGCAGAGGGATGTTGCAGCTATCTTCCCATGAGAAACACCTTGCCCTCCTACAAAAGCCCCCGGGGGAACAGAGCCGGCTGCCAAGGCATCTGGGTCTCTGGGAGGAGGGAGGCCGGCGTGTCTCTGTGTGGTTATGCTGGCGGAGAGCCCGGCTCGCTTGCTTCAGAGTGCCCCCGCGGGGGCTTGGCTGCCCCGGCCCCCGCTCTGTGGGACCACTT